CTACTTCTACTTCCTGTTATCTTCTTCATCATCGTCTTTTTCACCAGTAGAAACAGACGGTTGTTGATCACGTGACTCCCGTGATGCGATAAAAGTGTTTTCATTGCAGTTTTGCAAAAAAAAACAAAAAAACAATTTTGATACGGCTGAAATGCCACCTCATCCTAGCGCAAAAACATTTTGTCGAAAAACGTAATTTTTTTCGAAATTGACGTGTTTCCATTGAGCAAATTTATTTTCGTAATTCTAATTTGCGCATTTTCATGGTCAATGGAAACGCAGCTTATGACTGTCACTGAGCAGCTCAGCTAGAGAGACTTGTTTAAAAATAGATATGTCTATGTAGCCCCAAATGTAGACCAAATTCTCCCTGCAGGTGCATTGAAGCAAATGTTTGCTGAGAAAGCAGAGTTTTCCCTGCTTGTTTTTAAGCAAAACATTATGTTATGAGCTTAATGAGGGGGCTCAGTTGGTAGAGCTGCCTCTCTGCAAGAAGGCTGCTGGATCAAATCCTGGCCAGGTACCTCTGTGGGTAGAGTTGGCATGTTCAGGTACTCTGGTTTTGTACCACAAACAAAAAACATGCAYGCTAGGCTAATTGGTAACTCTAAATTGTCTCCAGTTGTATGAGAGAGTGAATGGTTGTTTGTCTCAGTGTGGCCCTGTGATAGACTTGCCAGGGTCCAGGGTGTACCCTGCCACTTCCAAAATGACCGCTGGATATGGGCACCAATGTCCTGGAAAGGAAGAAGCAGGTAAAGATAAAGGCTGGATGGAAGGAAGAGATTAATAAATAAATCTGTGTTTTTATTACTTCTGTTTTGAAATCTGGGGTTTTTCAAAAAGTATTCATCCCTACTGGCTGAACAGCTGAGGTACAAAGTGGACTGATGTGGGTACAATGTGGTTAAGCTGCTAGTCCTTAATAGTTGCAACCCTGTATCCAAAAAAGTCAGAATATTCAGATGATGCAGTTTAAATTTTGTAGTTTATTAATTATAATAATCTTTGTTAAAATTGATGGTCCATATAGAGGTTGCAGTACTGAGCTGAGGATTTTCTGTCATTTATGTTACTAAACTGTGATTCTTCTTGTCTAGCTTATGTTTGCTGACTCATCCTTTCCCTCTCTCTCCCTCTCTCTCTCTCTCTCTCTCTCTCTCTCTCTCTCTCTCTCTCTCTCACTCACTCACTCACTCACTCACTCACTCACTCACTCACTCACTCACTCACTCACTCACTCACTCACTCACTCACTCTCACTCTCTCTCTCACATTCACACTCTCTCTCACACTGTCTCTTTCACTCTCACACTATCTCTCTCTCTCCCCCTCACACTCTCTCTCATTTTCACTCACACACACTCTCTCTCACACTGTTTCTCTCAACTCACTCTCTCTCCCTCACACTCTCTCTCATTCTCACTCACACTCTCTCACTCTCTCTCTCTCACTCACTCTCTCACACACACCATCACTCTCTCACACACACCATCACTCTCTCTCTCATTCTCTCTCTCACTCACTCACTCACTCACTCACTCACTCACTCACTCACTCACTCACTCACTCACTCACTCACTCACTCACTCACTCACTCACTCTCACTCTCTCACATTCTCTATCTATCTCTCTCACTCACTCACTCACTCACTCACACTCATTCTCTCCCTTTCTTTCTCACTCACTCACTCACTCACTCACTCACTCACTCACTCTCTCACTCTCTCACTCACTCACTCATTCTCTCTCTCATTTTCTCTCTCACTCTCTCACTCACCTCTCTCACTCCCTCACTCCACTCACACTCTCACTCATTCTCTCCCTTTCTCTCACACTCACTCTCTGTCTCTCTCTCTCACTCATTCTCTCTCACACACTCTCTCTCTCACTCATTCTCTCTCACTCATTCTCTCACTCTCCCACTCCTCTCTGACTCACACACTCTCTCTCACTCACTCACTCTCACACTCTCACTCACTCACTTACTCACACTCTCACTCATTCTCTCTCTCACTCTCACTCACACACACTCACTCATACTCTCACTCACTCACACTCTCACTCTCTCATTCTCACTCACACTTTCTCTCTCACTCACTCTATCTCACTCTACCACACTCTCTCACACACACACTCTCACACTATCACTCTCTCTCTCATTTAATCTCTCACTCACTCTCTCTCACACTGTCTCTCACACTCACATTATCACTCTCTCACTCATTCTCTCTCTCACTCAACACACACTCACTCACTCACTCATTCTCTCTCACTTTCACTCACTCACTCACTCATTCTCTCTCACACTCACTCTCTCACTCACTCACTCACTCACTCACTCACTCACTCATTCTCTCTCACACTCACTCTCTGTCTCTTTCTCACTCTCTCTCACACTCTCTCACTCTCACTGTCTCACTCACTCACTCATACTCACTCACTCTCACTCACACACTCACACTCACTCACACTTTCACCCATTCTCTCTCACTCACACACTCTCTCACTCTCTCTCTCACTCTCTCTCTCTCACTCACACACTCTCACTCTCTCTCACTCCCCCCCCCCCCCCAGCCATCTGTGCAGACGGCAGCTACTACAAGTTCCTGTTCAACCAAAAGGGGGAGTGTTCCAGAGACGTGTATGCCCAGTTCCTGGAGATGACGGATGATAAAATATGAACCCTGACCTTGCTGTCGAGTATCGTTTGGTTTTCTGATTATTTGTTTTTTTAAGTTTTCCAGGGGGAGGATACAAGCTGTACCTCCTACTTTTATAGACTCTATGACAAAGAGCTTCAGGTGAAGGGAGGACAAACAGAAGCACAAACCTCGGAAGGAAAACTCAACCTATTGTTGGGCGTGTGACTCGGGACAGACGTGCTGCTTTTCTCCCAGACCAAATCAGAGAGAATCAGGAAATATTTGTCTTTTGTTTTTTGGAAACTAAAACTTGCAGCTTTTTACAAAGTCTTCCGAGGAGTTTACAGAATATTTTTAATCACAAAAATGATTCTGATGAAAATATAAAGATTACTGTCAACCAACACCACCTACTCAAACTATAGGTGTGCCTCTGAAAGCGTCTGTTCATATTATTGTCACATGTACACTCTTGTGCTCGGGTATTTACCAACCCGTGTACTTGGGTATTCACCAACCCGTGTGCTCGGGTATTTACCAACCCGTGTACTCGGGTATTCACCAACCCGTGTGCTCGGGTATTCACCAACCCGTGTGCTCGGCTATTCACCAATGTGAGGTGTTTGCAAAACGGAATCAGACTGAATCCAAAGTAACGTCCGAAGCAGATGTTGATCCTGTGTTGTGAAGTAATAAGTTTTCTTAGTTTCTGTAGATACACACCCGACACACAACTGTACATAATACTAAAATAATGTGTATTTTTGTTTTACTTCTCTTATGTGCAATATTTTTTTGTAATTTTTTGTTTGTTTAAAGCTTGTGGAGGTTTCTGAAAGTGATCAAAAGTTGAATTTGATTTTTTTTTCTTCTTTTTTTTGGCGGCAAGGTTCAAACCTCCCTCATGTATTTACAGTAACTAACATATTCTCAGGCTGCCAAATAACAAAAAATAAATAAATAAATCTGCTTCCCAGCACTTCTAAATTCACTAACAAAAACTTGGATGTGGTTGGTTTTCATGGTTCCATAAAACAGGACTAGAAAAATAATGTTTAGTTTTCTCAGATTTTTTCAGTTTTTGTTTTCCTTAAATCGGACCTTTTTTGATTTCTTTCTGAAAACTAACTTTTTTTTCTAATTTCAAGTACTTTGAAAGCTTGATGCTATTCATAAGAAGCATTTACTGTAATAAAAAATAATCTAAAACATCACCTAGTGAGATTTGTCTGTCACAATCTGTACATAATATTCTTCGGATTAAAACAAATATGGCCCAGAATAAAACATGACTGTAAATCTGGTTTAGAAAACAGATTATTGCTCATTTTTATTATCGATGCCAGTTCAGGAAGCTTAAGAGCTCTTTTAATGTCTCCTGTTGCTGAGGCGGGGGTCTGTCCGTCTGATGGGGGACATCGGAGACGGTTCTGTCGAGTTCTGTTGGGTTGTTCTGTTTCTGTAAAAGGTTTTTGTCTTACTACCTCCGGGGTTTTAGGGAGAAAAATGGTAATGTAAATAGAATTGCCTATTATCTGTAGGCCTGTCACGATAACAAATTTTGCTGGACGATTAGTTGTCTCAAAATTTATTGCGATAAACGATAATATTGCCTGGTGACCGTTTTACAACTAATAATTATAAAACCATAATATGTAAGAGTAATAAATCAATAAACTTTCATTTTTAAAAGAATGTTTAACAAAGTGGACTCTCAGTCTCTAACAAAAAAATGCACTTGAATAAAAAAAA